GCCTGTCGCAATGGTACAGTTACAGCAAAAACTGTCATAAATGTATCAAAGGTCATAAATGTTTTGATAATTACATCTTGTATATGTACACCATCAACATAATGATTCGTCAATTTGCAATTTTAGAATATCCATGCATTTTTGTAGACTGCGATCCAGGATACATGTACAGTTTCAACCAATCAGATTGTATTCCTTGTCCTAAAAACACGTATCAACCAATGAAAGGACAGTTTCAATGTAATCAATGTCCGCATGGTACAATTACGTATACCGATGATCCTCACGTTAATATAACCGACTGCAAAGAAGGTACCTTTAATGTGTCAATAATCCCCATTCAAACAAACCCCTCGTATATAATAAACGTCCCTCTTCAAGAAAAGGTTTTTAGTTAACCACCCACCCACCCACCCTCCTTTGTCATTATGATATCATGAATAGAGTTGGTTACCTCACAATAAAAGGAATAATCAATGATTTCCTTGTGTTGATTGGATGATTCTTGCCTGTAACAAGAACAGGTCGATAATAAAAATAATCTTTTTCTGGCGTAGTCAAATGCTGGCTATTTCCTCGTTACTTGAAAGAACTAGGCTGAATGAGTTTATAAGCAGATAGCAAATGCTCGTAGGAATATAAAAATCTTCAGTTTGTACATTTTAATCAAATTATTTAATTGAAAGACTTTTTCACATCGATATTCTATTCTTTCCAGGTCATTCACACCGATCTAATGGAAAACGTCTGAAGATTGTGATTCCCTGTATAATAGCGGCAATTTTGTTGCTGCTTTGTGTTCTCTTGCTGTGTTATCGTCTTAGATGTTGGATGAAGAAAAACAAAAAACTGGTGAGCAAAAAGTCAGCAAAAACAGTGGATATTTGCTGTTGAAGCAGTAAATGTCTTTAATGATCATTTGGAAGTTTTCATTGCATGCAGAGGCGTAACTAGAACGTTAAATGGGGGGTGTATATTCATATATTCAGTTGTGCCCTACTGATTTCTTTTGAAATTCAAATTACTTTCAAAAGAAATCAGTAGGGCACAACGGAATATATGAATATGCACCCCCTCCCCCCCTCCCCACCAACACCAATTAACGTTCTAGTTACGCCACTGATTGCATGCAAAGCAATCTTACTGAAACTTTAACTTACTATTTAAGAAAACGTCTGGTCAAGCAATAGACCAACGAAAGCTACCTTTTGTCTTCCACAAAGGCTAATATTTTTTGATTTTTTTTTTCAAGCGTCTGAAACCAAATGACGACATTTGCGATCAAAACTCCGGCGAAGAAACCATTATACTTCCGCCTCTCACTTGATTCTGAATCTCCTGTAAGAAGAATCGAGATTGGAAACTGAAAATCACATTTAGCATGATCTCATAAAAATCTAAAGGCTAATTTCCATGCAGCTACATTTTACGTTATAGCGCATAAAAGCTCGCACTCTTATTGAATGACGCATGCGCCACTGTGTGAAGTTCAAAAGGTCAGTAGCACTTGTGTGTTCTCGAGCAGCTCTAGAGCAACCGAGAGCAACGCGACAAAGTTGAATTCATTCTACTTTTAAGTGCGTTGTTTTGCTCTCAAACTCCAGCCTTCAAGATCACTGCAATAAAGCGGTGATTTTCTCATTCAAAATCACTGTTTTCATAGGAATCTTATTCCAATTCTATTCCTCTTTCTTCAACGAAGTAAATAGATAGAAATTACGGTGTTTTTTAAGTATTGGAGAAGTAACTATCTTTCGTTGACAGCAGCCATGTTTCTTTTCTTAACAAACAGCGCACCAATGCAATTTCCACCACGTGGAAAAGCATTTACAATTGAGAGCAACATATGCCTGAGCATTTTCCTCAGTGCGTAAAATGCAGCTGTGTGAAAATTAGCCTTAAAGCTTAAAGCTTTGCTATATCCGGACGACCGAAACGACCTTTGTGAAATACAAGCGACCTTTTTATGGCCAAAACGATTTGAAGAAGTAAATAACTAGCCAAAAGACTTTGTCTTTGATAAACAGCAGCTGCATGCCATTTCTAAATGTTTCTTGAAAAAATTAATTAAACAGTCTCTCGGCAGCGCTACTACGAATATATGAGAATTACATAGCTTGAGTCATCCCGGTCGTTTTGAAAAACCAGTTCTGTGCTAATCGCGTGCTTTACCCTTACACAACAGCTCTAGAGACTTAGGCCCTGTTTACATGAGATCGGAACGAAGTCAAACCGGTCCCAGCTCGTGTCGGTTATCGTATAATTTATAGAAGATGTTTACATGGGAGATGTACAAAAATAACTCAGAGCTTTCTGAAGTCGTACAGTCTGGTGAACCGATCCAACTGAGTTCAGAACTGTATGAATTCAAGCCAGCATCAATGTAAACTTAAATTAACGTTCAGACTGGTCAGACTGAAATTGTAAAAATGCATGCGCGCCAAAGCAAATTACAAAACAAAATGTTGAGCAAGTGTAAAACTAGCCTGCAAATGAGGCATTACGCAAATAAATATTTCGTGCCGGTCCCATGTAAACATGCAACAAATTCTGATTTTCATTCCGGTTTCACTTCGTTCCGGTCTCATGTAAACAGGGCCTTAGTAAATGTCGTTAGCCTAGTTTTCACTAACGACATTAGCACGAACAAGAAAAGTATATTCTCCGGAGATTGGAGTAAACAAAAGAAAAGGGACGTTCTTTTAAATTTGCTTTCGTTCTTTACAATTAAGTTGCTTTTTCTGCTTATCTTGATGTCGATGATTGTGTCAGATGCTCCATTGCACATTTTTTTTGTGTTTCCTTTTGTCTTTGCTTATTTAAGAGAAAACAAAGCTTTAGTAAATCCCCCTTCGTTTACTTATAGAAGGTTATTTTAAAGTCTTAGCTGCATACAAAGTATGAATACCATGTCGATGCTGTTTTTATCCACAACATGTTTCTTTAGCACAAGTTCAATTAATCATCGCTCATCAAAGACAGACGATATGTCCATAAATGAGCAAAGAAGAAAAGCATTCAATTCATATACTTTGTTTTTTTAAGACGCAATATGATGCTAGCTTGTAAGACTGTTTCCTTTCTTTAGGTAAGATAATATAGATATCTGATGTCTCGTTTTATGAATATCCAGTTCACTCAAATCAAATCAATGGTTTTTCACTAAAAAAAAACGAACATTGACTTTGGCGAAAGATTTATTTGTGTCTCAATTATGGTCGATGTAACACTAGAACAAGAGGACTTTTGTGTTGGTAAACTTTCCCTCGAAGTAGTGTGGTTTCAATCGACTTGTCTAAGATACGTTTTATTTGTTCATTATTTTGACATTCCCTGTTTGACAGATTCTACGTTTACTCCGTCAGGATCATTTCATTTTCCACGTTTTAACTTCCCTAATCGGCTAACCCAATCTGTTTACGGATATTCCTTATTTTAGAAATAGAATTTTTGGTTTCATGATCCTGACGGTATATGATCACAGTTTGACAGAATTTTTGAAAACACTTGCATGGAGGTTATCACTGTCCATCAATGAAATGCTTTATTTTGTTCATTTCCTTGTAGAATCCACTGGAGAATTTTGTGGCTTGATTGAATATTGAAAGAAATTATTGATAGAAAGAAGTGAGAAAGAATATAGGAGCCTTGATAATGATGATGATCAGGCATATATTGAAAGATACAATCACCGGGTTAGAATGTATTTAAAGTTATCTTCATAGAAATGATTTACCTCAGAATTAACGTTTTTCTTACTCGACATCATGATTATCCAATACTTTATTTAATACCACTGTCACAACTGACGTAAATTTACCTTCGTGAGAAACTACGTCATATTTCTCAGTCATTTCTTCACTAGTCATTAGTCCTCTCACATGCACATTTTAGCATGACATGTGTTTGGTTTAAAATAACGGTGAGCGATGTACCAGACTAATTTCCTGTCATTGCATTAAAGGAAATGATCGTCACATGACAGTCTGTTTATTGAGGTCATGCAATGTAAGCAACGACTACGAATAAACCATCAGAATGAACACAATTATCATTGTATCAAAATTTTACCAAAAATAATTAAAATTTTTGCAAAAATAAGTGTTATCGTAAAGGATTCCACTACACACAAACATCATTTCCAAAGCGGTTTCCTTGCACCAATATTATTTTGAAATGCTAATACTGAAATGTTTTATCATTTAAAGTTTCTTTGTTTCGGGCTTTCAGAGCGCAATTTTTATTCATTATTAATGAAGGTAATTGTAAACGCGCAATCACGCAATATTTTTTCTGGATAGAAATCAGTTCTGACTTTTATGTGAGGACAAAATAGCATCTTGCGTATATTGAGTTCAAACAAAACATCGACTAATCATGATGGCAAAAATAACATCAGACAAGCTAACCCTGCTTTTTGTTATGCAAAATCGAAAAATTGCTGTAAAAAGCTGAGAGGACCTATTCAATTTATTTTACGAGAGCAAGCGGTTCAAACTTGTTTTGAATGAGAAAACAGAACTGTATAAATGCAATAATCGAGTTTGGTTAATTCAGGTTGATTAGTGTACAAACTTTGTTGTCAGTACTGTCTGCCCTGTCATTGTTTTTACATCACTGTGCAAATATGTCACAAATAATTTTTTGTCTTTATGAAATTCTGTTCTTTTAAATTCTTTTATACAACGTTAACGCTTTGTATCCTCTTAAAGAAAGCCCATCCAGTCGGCGTGTTTTTATGATGTTCTTGCTTGAATTCATTAAAAGATTAATTTTCCCGCCTGGAAAATCTATCGTCACGGTAATAATTTATATTTCAACTAAATATTCTTTTTCATGTTTTAGTTGTTGTATTATACATCCTGTGTTTTACAGATTCCGCATTATACTCTTTAAGGATTGTTCAAATTTCAATGTTTGAATTTTCCTCCCCTCCACACCTTTTACGGATTTCCAAAAATAGCATTTCCGTTTCATGACCACAGCACAGTTGCAGAAGGACTTTTGAAAACAGTTGGTGGTTAACGCTCTCCAGCAATGAAATGCTTCATTTTGGTTTAACACCTTAGAGAATTCGCGTGGAAACTTTGAGCGGATTGAATTTTATAATAATATCGATAGAAAGAAGTGAGGAAGAATAAAGGAACCTTGATGATGATGACGAGGATAAGCTATATATGGAAAGATACGACCACCAGGTTAGAATGTTTACTTAAATTTAACTGTATGGGAAAGAACACTTTATCTCAGAATTGACGTTTTTTTACTCGACATCATGATTATTCAATACTTTATATAATCCGATTGTTGTGCATTATGTTTGCTATAATTAGATGATGTTTTGAAAATTTTACATGGTTTACATAAAGCTACGTTTTACACCACACTCTGCATACGTTCACAAAATCCCCGACAGTTGCATGGAAGTCAAAATTAATCCTTTTGGATTAACAAAGTTAATGTTGTTCGAAATGTAATTTATTATTGTACAACTAGTGTGCAAAGATTTTGCAAGGCTCATTGTTTCAACTTTCCTGCTTTATTTTATTTTACTGATGCCAGTATAAATTTTATAGATATTGTGCGTTCATATAAATTAACTTATTTCTTTGTAATTCAAATCACATGCGTTATATTGATGCCTTCAAACATTGCTTGAGGAAGTTTATGATGAAAGGCAAATCAAACTGTGTGCATCAGCCATAAGAAATTGACATTAAACTGCAGCACTAAAATATTTTGACTTTGATTTTCTGGTGCATTTTCTCGCAATATTATTATATACTTGATTTTAATCAAATCTGCAGGTGGTTTGATTATTTCAAAGTAAACAGTAAATTTTCGATGAGCCATTGATATTGGTATTTACTATACTATGTTTTCTCTGCTATCTTATAGAAATTTGTGTCTAAAATTTTAGCACATTTGTACGTAACATATAGTTGCACGAAAGTTACAATTTTAATTGGACAACTATGCGCTAAATGAAGTCTCTGAAAATCAACTTCACAAATTAAAATTCAAGATTTGAAAATTTTCTTTACTTATAGAACCCAGTGTAGCTGTTTAACCTTTAAGGATTTTTGGCCCATCCCCGTCGTTTTCTGTAATACAAAAGAAACTAGCACTAAAAGGTATTTTGACGTCATCCAAGGTAGTCGGTATTAGGGCATGTTTAGCATATATTAAACATAACAGTGATTTGAATGCTACTGAATACAAGACTCGTGTAACACGAGTACCTTCGATGACGTTAGAAATTTAGCTAGTTTCAGCCTCTTCATTATCACGGACATGGTTCAAAAGATTATACGATTTTAGAGAATTTAACGCTTTACAAAAATGAAATGACTTGACCAAATTGAAATATTTTTTTCTCAAAGAGGCTTAATAACATACACAGATTTGATATTGCTGAAGAATTTTTGGTGGAAGGGCACTTTAACACGTCTCATATTTTACTTCATATAAAATTGTTAATCGACACAAATAACATTTTTACTTCGCACGATATTGGTCGGCAAAACAAGTTTATTTACTTTCTGCGTTTGATTAAAATCACCAGCAGATTATTGTAAGTCTGTATGAGTCAACAGAGTAATGTATAAGTAATTCATATAATACTTGATCGGACTATATACAAGACAGTACAACATAGTAACTACTAACTACAAGTTGCTAGAACACTTCGCTGGAAAGAGTTAGAATTGATATTTGTCATTGTCAATAAACAATATCTTTTATTTAATAATTTTTTATGAAGGTTTGTAATCTTTTAATTGTTTGTACAATAGATAAATCGATCTCATGTTTAGTTCCGCTTGAATAGATGACAAGGAATATCGTACAACCATACAAGTCAATTTTTGGGCCGTAATGTTTTTAGTTGATATTTCTCAAAATAACAATATTTTCTTTGGATTAGGCCACCACCTTTGCTGATTGCAAAAAACTTTTGCTTTATCTTTGTACGCGGATAGAAACTTCGCAGTTAAAACATTGACATAAAGCCAATGTATTACATTCCTACAATGATATGTATGTGCGCTTGGATTCATTGTCATTCTTTGATTGATCTTATTACACACAGTACAATTATACCAAAAATCTTTCATCAGAAAGTGCAATTGAGCTAGCATAATTACTTAATGATAAAATACTTACTTTAATTAACTTTAACACACAAAATTTAGTTTTCCCTCACTCTCATTCTGAGAGTGAGTCAATCGATAGAATGAAATAAAAAATTGTTAGCAAAAAAAGCTGCGATATTTTTCCGACAAAGAGGCGAACGCACAAAACGATATTTTTCATCATCGTTTGTATTTCCGACTATCCCCGAGAATAATTATCTCGGGTATGGTGTATGGTTTCATGTGGATACTTTTTCGATAGTACAATGTAAGCTGCGTACGAACAAAAACCTTTCAGGCGGAAAATGACTTTTTACGTGGCCATATTAATGTATGCCAACTTTAGTAATGGATATTTGAGCTGATTTTATCATTTTTCTGCTTGAATATTCGAATTTTTTCAAAATTCATTAAAACATTAAAACTCGTTCTGGGATGAAAAAAAATGCATACAATATATTAATGCAGGTTTGTAACGCACGGATTTGTTGAAGCGAATGCTGTGGCTGGTGCAAGAAGAAATTGAACGATATCTAAACTTAAAATCGCATATATAAAAGAATCAAAACCTTTATAACTATAGGCATAGAAGCTGTTCAAAAAATGATGATGATTGAAACATATTTTTCTTATTTTCTATTTCAGCAGCTCACTTACAATGATAGATTTGACATTTTTCCTGTTAGTCAGTACTACGTTATCACAAGGTATGAAATCTTAAATAAATCTTTACCTTCTCGCATTGAAAGTATTTTTTTGATGATATCAGCAAAAATTGTATGTATTTTATAATAACATAAAAAAGTCAATGTATTTATTTGATCCAAGGTAAGAATAGCTTTTGCAAACTAAGCTTTTAATATTTTGCACTTTTTAAATAAAGATTCTATTCTCTTTCTAAACCAGCTCCTTTTTCTAATAAATTTCATGCGACGTATGTATGACAGAAAATTAATCTTACGTAGTAAGAACTGGGAACAGAGAATTTTGGTCGCCTAGTGATTATCGTATGAATGTGAAAACACAATTAAGTTGTAGCTAAGGTTTACACTAATTTTGGCTTACATAGCCAGTGAAAGGCTGTCTTACAAAACAGAATGAAACAAAAAGTCTTTTTTCAATGTTGTCTTTAAAAAAAAAATTGCTTAATTCCTCGCATTTTTACTTACAGCGAGTGTTGACTCTAAAGTCTGTGACTTTGAACATGGCCTGGGTACGAATTTATGTCCATGGTACAATGTTGAGGGAGTTGATGATGGGAACTGGATTCTCAGCAATTACCTAACGTTAAGTAAGTTCTGAAACACGAGAGCTTTTTGTTTGTGTGCAAGGAGACAAAATATCGAGTTTCAAGAAAAGAAAGTGATTTGATCTTTTGAAACACTAAGCTAGTTTTTGTAAATGGAGATCAGAATAGCTTGGTAAGGCGAGTAAGATGATAAATATTGGTTGTTACTTAATGTAATTACGCTTGTAAATTGTGAGGTGCAGACGATACTAAGCCCAATTCGAATGTGGATGACTTGGAGTTTAGGTTTGTAAAGCAACGTGGAGGGCAATAACGACTTTGACTAAACACTTAGTTCACTATATAGAAGATCACGTTATAACGACGAAGGCTTCAGTTTTGGTATGATGTCATTGATTTATATAGTGGAGAGGCTTTATTTGATGAAATAGATGGAGATCGTTTAGTGAGATTTTGTTTTCAAAAAATGACTACTCTGATTTTGAACTGAGCTGAAATTCCTTTTGAATTTAGTTGAGGACATGTCACACGAGCAAGCTGCAGGCAGTCAGCGCTCAGATAAGGCTTCCTTTTAATTTCTTTAAGAATATTATTGTTTGTTTTGTTTTTCTGTATTGTTTTTAAGTTCTTTATAGCAAGTGCTTTATACGCATGGCAACAATTAGAGGGAAATTGGTAGTTGTGCCATTGAATGAGTCAGAGAAAGTCGCAAGATTTTTATCCATGAATGATGTAAAATCGGTGGGACAAAGCAGTAACTGCTATTTCCTTTCATCACGACAATGTTCTTGTCATCAAATCTCTTCTTCAACTTAGCATTAACGTTTTTCATGATCTCGTACAGGATCAATATTTATGGAAATAAATATCGATCCAGTAGCATAAGAGCTTCTTGAATACTAACAAGTTGTAGATTCTCGGGAATATCAACATAATTGGCCATTTTTCAGTCTCATTTGAGAACACTTAAAACTTCTCTCTTACGATACAGGCTTTTAACTTCTTATTGATCAAAGCAATAGGACTTTGGTCATACTAATCGCAAACATATCTGAAGAAAATTTAGGTGTCGTAGGGATATATACTTAATTATCATGATGTATCGAAAAAAACGACGATTGATACAACATCTTTAGCCAGAGCACTAAAAGTAGCTAGCGGCATAACGCCGAAGTTTGCTTCAACGTAATAAAATTATCTACTGCCATATGCAAAATCCAAAAGCTAGTATCTTTAAGGAAACAAATTTTTTTTAATTTTTTTATGTTCAAAAGCTCTGACTGGTTAAAGCTCCAAACAAACAACAACTATCGAAACTTGAAACTTTTAATTTTCTTTCCACCCTTGACAAACTGTCACATTTTCACCGACATGAGAATTACAGGTCCCTCGATGGGGTTGATGTAACCGCCCCTGCTCACCCTCTTGCCCTACCCCTGAACCACGATAATTATATATTCATAAATTTATAAAATAAAACTTGGTGAGATAAATTTTACAATTACACAAAACTCTTACTTATCTTACTGTACAAGGCGTTTTGAACAACATTAATTGATCTTACTTAAATGAAGATATGATCTTCGCACTTTGCTGGACAATTTAAGCAATTGTCTCATGAACTTGAAAAATTCAGGTGACTCAACGGGATTCGAACCCATGAGCTCTGCGGTGCCGGTGCAATGCTCTGACCAACTGAGCTATGAAGTCACACAGTGATGAGCAGGTCAATTTTGTTGGGCTCATGTTTTCTCCTGAAAGGAATGTCATATGAAAGAATGTCACCGTTGAGTCACCTGAATTTTTCAGGTTGATAAGACAATTGCTTAAATTGTCCAGCAAAGTGCGAAGATCATATATTCATTAAATTTCAAACACCGCACTGTATAAAATCATTCTTTCATATAAATCGATCTCTTTATGAGCATTACTGTAATGGTTAATCAAGCAATCTTAATTAAATGACGTATTAACAAATATGCATTATTTATATATATGTAGTCTACATAGTAACTGTATTTTACATTTTCTCTTGTGTTGCAGGACGATATCTTCATTCTGATTCAAGTTTGTTAGGCAAAGCTTGGTTGGTGGGAAACTATCGAAACGACTCTCTCGTGTGCTTTTCATTTTGGTATTACATGAATAGAAGTGTTTTGTCAATATTAAATATCTACCAAGAATCTTTTCACAATGGATACAATCTTTTACTATGGTCATTAAGTGGTAATCAAGGAAACAAGTGGAAAAAAGGCCAAGTCACAGTTAATTTTACAATGGGTCTATCTAGGGTATGCAACTTACACATATATATGCAACTTAAAATTAAACTTCGGCAATTTGTCCAAGCCGCTTACTTTTTCTTCATAGTTAATCGTTGAAGATGTCAAGCGTAGATACAAAGGAAACTTTGTAGCTCTCTACAACCTTGCTTTTGTTCAAGGAAGCTGTGACACAATACCAAAGATGGCCATTCCTAGCAATGCTTTTGGTAAGTATTTGCTTTCTCGGAGTGTTTTGCTGGATCACTCTTGTTGTTTTTATGTTCTTGGAAATTTTCCAAACTTTTCATTTGGTTCATAGTTAACTTACCTAATGAGAAAGGAAACATCACATACAATAAATAAATCAACTGTAAACTGTCAATTGTCAACCGGTGATTTATTTTCAAAAATCTTCTTTTCAGATTGTTCTAATGGTTCATTCTTTTCATTTCAAAGTAATAAATGCGAAAAATGTCCAACTTCTACATATCAACCACACTCAAAACAAACCCGTTGTCTTACCTGTAATGATGGTAAAGGTACCATCAATGTTGGTGCTGTGAGTGAACAAGAATGTATAAAAGGTAATTTTTAAGGTGTCACTTCAGTGCTGAAAAATTAATATACTATGAATATTTTTTAACTCTTCCTTGGTTTTTATATTAAAAGGAATAATCTAAGCTGTATATACCTTGTTTGCACGGCTAGATTTGATAATATACGCAGGCTATGTCACGTTTAACCACTTATTTTTATTTGCCTTCATCACGTGAGTAGCTCTCATTAGAATGACGTTCGAACAAATAATCTCATGAAAGCAAGTCGAAAGCCTGGAAGAGCACGGCACTATATAAATAAAACAAAAATAACATCACTTTCTCTAATTTCTGAAATAACAATAATTCTAATATACTACCAAATACATTGCGATTACATTGCATCGTAAAATTTGTATTGAGGTTAAAACAAGAGAGTTGATAAAATAAACGTAATGCTGCTTTTTTGAAAATTCCATATAACGTAAAAGTTACCAAAACAGCTTACATTCCATATAAAAAAGTTTTTAACGTACATAATTTGCATTTTGCCAAGTTGTTTACACAAGGTGTATATAAAAAAACTGAACAATCAGAAAAACCACTCTAAATTCATCAGCGCGCAAGATCTTCAAAACCTTTAGTGAAATAAATAGTTCGACTTCCAATAGCTAGTTCATCTGACAGAAATTTTTGGCAAATAAAAACGATGTTGCGGGAGAATTGTGTTACCGAAAAGTATTTTGAAAAAACTCGTGCTCTAAAATCAATAGAATAAAAAGCAGTTGGAACAAGAAAGGTTAAAATATGGTACATGTTGTTCAAGCATACAAAGTTTGGGAAATTTGGTTTAACCGTATACAAACACTTGGCAATCAAATTGCAGACTATTTAGCGGTTTTTTTATTTGCCATGTTTCAAAACCTGAACGAATTAGTCAAATTTGATTTCATTTACCCTCAAATTTATGTATAATTAATAAGGACTATATCAAAATGCCATTTAAAAATGAAAAATTCAAAGCAATTCACAACTTAAAAGTTATGAATTCGCATATTCATCAGCGAAATTTCCCATAACTTTGTTACCTTTAAAAACATATGTCATATTGTAATCCTATATCTTCTAATTTCTTTTTACCTGTATGATTTTTATGCGCAAGCTATTTCAAATGCGTTTCTCTGTAATACAATTTTTACCTTATGAATTTTTCTTATTTGAGACAATTTTACTCTCAGATAATGCATTGGAAATCCAACTGACTATTTCCACGAAACGTGTTTGCAAATCGTATGCCCAAATGACTTTTGTGTCGTTTTCCAAACTTTTCAGGTTTTTTGACACACCCTGTAGAGTAGAATTACCATTATTATCATTTAAAAACCATGCACACTAGGTTGATTTTTTGCACTGCCTACTAATTCTAAAAGCTTTGCAAGCAAAACAGGTAGAAGAATTTTAATTCTTGTTGCAAACTTTAGTGTTAATAAGTTGTTTGGTAAAATTCATTATAAATTTAGTGCACATCAAAGATGTCTGTGTGTCCACGACTTCGGTGACTGGAAATCTTTTAGCACAATTTCAAGTTTTTCTGCTAAACATTCGACAAATGTTGTCAAACAACAAAGAAGAATTGATAAATAATTTAAAAAGAAAAATCATTTTTACCTTTAAAAGATTATAATGCTTTTATCATTTAAACTTTGCTGTGGAAGATAGCGTTGCTTAAAAATCTGTTGTCTTGTGTGGTGTGTTTTTGTTTCATACAAATGCATTTCAGACTTCTGCTTTATTTTGAACAACTAAAATGGCTATTAAAATTTCGATTTTTTTCCCATTCAGTTTTGAACTTTAACTTCAGCGTTGGTGTGTTTTTGTTTCATACAAATGCATTTCAGGCTTCTGCTTTATTTTTAACAACTAAAATGGCTATTAAAATTTCGATTTTTTTCCCAATCAGTTTTGACCTTTAACTTCAGCGTTGGTGTGTTTTTGTTTCATACAAATGCATTTCAGGCTTCTGCTTTATTTTTAACAACTAATGTGGCTATTAAAATTTCGATTTTTTTCCCATTCAGTTTTGAACTTTAACTTCAGCGTTGGTGTGTTTTTGTTTCATACAAATGCATTTCAGGCTTCTGCTTTATTTTTAACAACTAATGTGGCTATTTAAATTTCGATTTTTTTCCCATTCAGTTTTGAACTTTAACTTCAGCGTACATTCCATAGGCGTACGGAATCAAAAAAATTGGGGGGTGATGACACATTCTTGCCCGACGAAAACAAAAACTGCCCTACAGGAAATTCATTAGTAAAAGAGACAATCTAAACCTTGATTGCATGGCAGCTGCATAGTATTAAGGTTAAAAATATTGCTAAACTGTTTTTATACTCCATTTTTGAGTACATATTGGTTGAGTACTTTATCGTTTACCAACTGATATCGCACCTTACTAAGTTATTTGTACATAAAGTATATTTTGCATTTATAATAAGCTTAAAGGACACCGATTTGTGCTCATTTCAATTTGGTGGAAATTTTGTACAAAAGCGACAAAAATGAATGCATATAAGAATGGAAAAAGCTTTAGGCAGGAATAAGCAATGACGTAGGGAAAGGAGTGCAGGTAAGCCAGGGCTTACTTAAAGATTTTGTCACATGATGCAACATGTGACTATGAATCATTAGTCAAACATCATACAAATGAGATCAGAACGAATTCGTTATAGCTAATATCAAAGAAAGGGTTAGGAAAGTGTAAATATGTCGTACAATTTGTAAATTTTTCCATCCTTTCAATTTCAATGTTTTTGAATTTCTATGCAACATGTTAGAGGCATTCTATCCTACTGGATGTTCATCATCATTTCAGCGTAAAAAATTAAGAAGAGACCTTTTCTTGAAAATTCACTGAAGATGGACTTAGGATTCGAATTAAGATTTAAACTATGAAAAAGAATTTATTTAAAGTGAAAGAGACAGCCCTTTTTTTAATGTACCCGCTTTAAATATTTTTTTATATTTTTCTTTTATTATACGACGTTAAACTGTTAACTTATTCGACAAATATATTTAATTCGATTGAAACGTGAAAGGCAGAGAGGCGTAACAACGGATGGCAATTATTGCCAGGAATAATTTAAAGCCGTGTTACTGCGCCGCCCTAGCCCCCACTCCCGTACCCACATAAATAAAAGTCAAATATAGTTTAGATATAAAATATTTCTTTTACAAATTTAATCTACTCACAAATACTTTTATCTGATAGCATTATTAAAATAGATTTCTGAACTATTTTATGGATCTATTTTGATAAAATCTACAACTTTTTTGTTCAGAATGTCGTCCAGGTCATTATTATGATTTTTCTGAAATGGTTTGTACAAAATGTCCACGAAACTCGACACAAGAGAAGAAAGGACAGATCACATGTGACGTGTGTCCAATAAATCTACCAATCACAGTGAAGGAAGGAACGGTTTTTCAATCAGATTGTATTCAAAGTAAGTTGAAGTTTTTGAAACACATCAAAATAATTTGGTTTAATAAAACAATTTTCGTGTTTAGATTGTAATGCAGGCTCTTACTTTAACAAAACGACTTTAAATTGTACGAAATGTAAAAGAAATAGTTATCAACCACAGACAGGAAAAACAAAATGTTTTACGTGTGAAATAGACAAGATCACCATAGAAACTGGAGCTATTGACAAGACACAATGCATTGAAGGTAAGTTGAATAATGACAATGAAGATGTTAAATTATTTTATTGATGAGAAGTAGTTATTATACTTTAATTCACTACTGCACCTGTTACTTGTTTTTAAATATTTTGCTAAAAGTATATTCTTTTCCAATCTCATATTTATTATCATGAGCGTTCCTTTTTCATTTTAATGTGTCGCTTGTATTTACAATCTTTTACAGATTGTTCTGCTGGTTCATTCTACTCGTTTCAAACCAACCAATGTGAATATTGTCCAGTGAATTTTTATCAACCCAACTTTGGTCAAATTCATTGCATTGCCTGTCGCAATAGTACAGTTACAATTGAAAATGGGACAATCAGCCATCTTGACTGTATCAAAGGTCATAAATACTTTGCCAACTACACCTTGTGTATGTACACCAGCCATATAATGATTCGTCAATTTGCAATTTTAAAATATCCATGTGTTTTTGTAGACTGCCATCCAGGATACATGTACAGTTTCAACCAATCAGATTGTATTCCTTGTCCTAAAAACACGTATCAACCAATGAAAGGACAGTTTCAATGTAATCAATGTCCACATGGTACAATAACGTACACAGATGATCTTCACGTTAATATAACCGACTGTAAAGAAGGTATGTTTATCTTCAGTATTTCATGGATCAAATGTTGATATCATCAATAATTAATTTATTTGTTTTTAGAATGTCGTCCAGGATATTACTTTAATTTGTCTGAAATGGTTTGTACAAAATGTCCACGAAACTCGACACAAGAGAACAAAGGACAGATCACATGTGACTTGTGTCCAATAAATCTACCAATCACAGAGAAGGAAGGAACAGTTTTTCAATCAGATTGTATTCAAGGTAAGTTGACGTTTTTGAAACACATCAAAATAATTTGGTCTAATGAAACCCTTTTCGACTTTAGATTGTAATGCAGGTTCCTATTTTAACAAAACGACTTTAAATTGTACCAAATGTAAAAGAAATAGTTATCAACCACAGACAGGAAAAACAAATTGTTTTAAGTGTGGAATAAAAAAGATCACCATAGAAACTGGCGCTATTGACAAGAGGCAATGCATTGAAGGTTGGTTGAAGAGTGAGTGACAATGAAGTTGTTAAATTATTTTATCGGTTAGAAGTAGTTATTATACTTTAATAAACTACTGCATCTTTCGCTTATTATTGAAAATTTTGTTAAAAGTATATTCTTCTCCACTTTAATTATAGTAACATTATGTCGTCCTATCTCATTTTAATGTGCTGTGTGTATTTACAATCTTTTTTTCTGTTGGTTCATTTTACTTGTTTTAAACCAACCAATGTGAATATTGTCCAGTTAGTTTTTATAAACCACAATTTAGTCCAATTAGTTGCACTACCTGTCACAATGGGACAGTTACATCCAAAAAGTAGAAAATCAGCCATCTTGACTGTATTAAAGGTCATAAATGTTTCACCATCTACACCTTGTATAATGTATATGTACACTTACTTTATAATGACTCGTTAACTTGTAACTTTAAAGAACTGCTGTGTTTTTGTAGACTGCAATCCAGGATACATGTACAATTTCAACCAATCAGATTGTGTTCCCTGTCCTAAAAACACATATCAACCAATGAAAGGACAGATTCGTTGCAATCAATGTCCACATGGTACAATGACGTACACAGATGATCACCACGTTTATATTAGCGACTGTAAAGAAGGTATGTTTATCTTCAGTATTTCATGGATCAAATGTTGATATCATCAATAATTAATTTATTTGTTTTTAGAATGTCGTCCAGGATATTACTTTAATTTGTCTGAAATGGTTTGTACAAAATGTCCACGAAACTCGACACAAGAGAACAAAGGACAGATCACATGTGACTTGTGTCCAATAAATCTACCAATCACAGAGAAGGAAGGAACAGTTTTTCAATCAGATTGTATTCAAGGTAAGTTGACGTTTTTGAAACACATCAAAATAATTTGGTCTAATGAAACCCTTTTCGACTTTAGATTGTAATGCAGGTTCCTATTTTAACAAAACGACTTTAAATTGTACCAAATGTGAAAGAAATAGTTATCAACCACAGACTGGAAAAACAAAGTGTTTTACGTGTGGAATGAACAAGATCACCATAGAAACTGGAGCTATTGACAAGATACAATGCATGGAAGGTAGGTTAAATAATGACAATGAAGTTGTTAAATTTATTTATTGATGAGAAGTAGTTATTATACTTTAATTCACTACTACACCTGTTACTTGTTATTAAATATTTTGCTAAAAGTATATTCTTTTCTAATCTAATATCTATTATCATGTGCGCTCCTTTCTTATTTTAATGTGTCGCTTGTATTTACAATCTTTTATAGATTGTTCTGCTGGTTCATTCTACTCGTTTCAAACCAGCCAATGTGAATATTGTCCAAAGAACTTTTATCAACCCAACTTTGGTCAAATTCATTGCATTGCCTGTCGCAATGGTACAGTTACAGTTGAAAATGGGACAATCAGCCATCTTGACTGTATAAAAGGTCATAAATACTTTGCCAACCACATTTTGTATATGTACACCAGCCATATAATGATTCATGAATTTGCAATTTTAAAATATCCATGTGTTTTTGTAGACTGCAATCCAGGATACATGTACAGTTTTAACCAATCAGATTGTGTTCCCTGTCCAAAAAACACATATCAACCAATGAAATATATCTTCTTGTCCAATCTATATTAGTATCATGAGGTCACATGGATATTCTATTCTCACCAGGTTCTTCACGCAAATTTATCCGAAAACTTATAAAGACTGTTATTCCCTATGCAATAGCGGCAATTTTGTTTCTGTTTTGTATTCTCTTGTTGTGTTATCACCTTAGATGGCGGATGAAGAAAAACAAAAAAATGGTGAGTATAAAATAAGCAAAAACGATCAACATTTGTCGTTAAAGCAGTAAATGCCTTTTAAACGGTGCTTAAAACTCGACACCGTTTATCATTAGGAAGTTTTCAATGCATAGCAATTTTACTGCAACTCTAATTGACTATTTAGACGAGATCTGGCAATGGCCGACCAATATACCAACGAGATCGCATCTTAAATCAAGGTACAGTAACTTCCTTATACAATAAATTCATGATTATTTTTGAACAAAAGGATTTATCAGTTATTCAAATAACATCGATATTATTTATGCATAATATGTATAATATCAAGTTATACACATACAATCTTTTGGTTGAACGAAAAAATCGAAAGATATACTTTTACTTTGTCCTTTTAAATTTTGTGTTGAAAACGTTACTGAAAAATAAAACATAATAACTGTTACTTTTGATGTCATAAAAGCTTTATGAAAATATTTTGTTTATAGAAATCACAAATTGTACCGCATAATAAAATATTATTCACGTTAATTTAAATGCCATTGAAATGAAACGGCATTTTTTCATCTCTTGTCATAGATCACAACTCTGAAACCAACTTAAATGATCCAACAAACGTATCTGGCAACGAATTTCTGCTCCAGTCTCGATCACAACAAAGTCAGAATCACGTGTATGAAGAGCCGAGATGGGAACCCGAAATGCATTCCAATGTTGTGAAAGTCAGTTTTGAACCTCGTCCTCCCGGATATGAGGAACCTAGTATAGTAATCTTTTACAAGTCTCCGCAGAACCAGAGTGTTGATCAATTCGAAAATTCTTCTGTCCGTGATTCAATGATTAATGAAGATAATGATGAACGATATACATCTTTGATATTATCCCAAGGCTGTAGAAATGACTTAGAAAATAATGATTATCAACCATTGCTGACGAATGGTAATGTAACAAATGGTGAAAGTGTTGATCAATACCAAAATTCTTTTGTGAGTGATTTGATGATTAATGAAGAGAAAAGTGAGCAATATAAATCTTTGATAAAACTTCCAGGAAGTAGAAATGATACAGAAAATGACGGTTATCAACCATTGCTGAAGAATGGTAATGTAACAAATGGTAAAAGTGTTAACGAATATCGAAATACTTCTGTCAGTAATTCGATGATCATCGAAGACAAAGGCGAGAAATATTTGACAATTATTGAATGAGACTGAGCATTATTCACACCGACGTCAATGCTTGTTTTATTGCACAATTATAAATGTAGCAGTCTTTAAACTATTTTTGTATGGAAGCTAAAACGTTAAATTCAACATTAAATAATCATAACGGTTTGCTTTCGTGTCCCTCGTATAAAACTCGTTGAAAACTCTCCTGACTTACAGCGTAAATCGTAATTTACACGAGCAAAGTTTCTCTGGCAAAGTTATATGCCGCTAGACTATATCCATGTAAATGAGTAAAATGTCTATTTGCCAAAGTTTTCTTTGACAAGGATTATTTTATCGTGTCTATGGGAAATTTTGTTCATTGCTTACAGTAGCTTCGCCAGATAGATAAGTAAGAGGGAGAATATATATATATTCATGTTTTAATCACTAATCTGCTTATTTCGATATCGATGATTGTTTCAGATGCTCCATTGCACACTTTTTTGTATTTCCTTTTGTCTTCGCTTATTTAAGAGAAAACGAAGCTTTAGTAAATCCCCCTTCGTTTACTTATAAAAAGTTATTTTAATATGCAAATTTCTATGTTTAAACAAGTGATTGCAAGTAGTGTAAGACCTTTTATACGTTGCTATTACAAGCACGACAATTAAACTTTTAGTCTTAGCTGCATACAAAGTATGAATATCATGTCGATGCTGTTTTCATCCACAACCTGTTTCTTTAGCACAAGTTTAATTAATCATCGCTTATCAAAGACAGACGATATGTCCATAAATGAGCAAAGAAGAGAAGCATTCAATTCATATACTTTGTTTTTTTAAGACACAATATTGTGCTAGCTTGTACAGCTGTTTCCTTTCTTTAGGTAAGATAATATAGATATCTGATGTCTTGTTTTATAAATATCCAGTTCACTCAAATCAAATCAATGGTTTTTCTCTTAAAAAGAACGAACATTGACTTTGATTTTATTTTCTACATACGTTTACTCCGTCAGGATCATTTCATTTGCTAAGTTTTATTTTCCCTAATTGGCTAACCCCCTCTGTTCACGGATATTCCACATTTTAGAAATAGCATTTTTGTTTTCATGATCCTGATGGCATATGATCACAGTTTGACAGAATTTTTGAAAACACTTGCATGGAGGTTATCACTGTCCATCAATGAAATGCTTTATTTTGTTCATTTCCTTGTCGACCTCAATGGGGAATTTTCTGGTTTGATTGAATATTGAAAAAAAAGAATTCTTAGAAAAAAGAGGGGTGAAGTGTTAGATCAAATTTACGGGGACTTTCACATGTTTTAAAATGCTGATTGTAGAGCACAAATCTCCCATGATCAATATGCTACAAAATGACGTCAAACGACAATCAGTTTGTGACTCACGATGTGATTCAATATTTCTGAACATCTTGTACTTTTAGCAATCAAATTGCTCTTTCTTATACTTGCTGGGATTTTCTACTGACCTTATTCTGAAAAAAAGTACTAAAAGATGGTTGGGAACCAGGAAGGGTCACTGCTTACGGCAATCACTTCTTTCGGACTATTGCAGAAGTAACAATTGGAATGGATGAATATCGTGTTCTTAATATGAACATGATATCTAATGGACGCCACGATGAGGAATATTACAAAAAAAATGAAAGTGAGTAAGTTGTGTAGAAAATTGTGATCATTTTTAGTACAACCTTAGATATCATAAAGACTGGAAAAAATAAATAAGAAAGCGAAACACACTCATCCATAGACAACATGCGGAACTTTAGACGTAGTTGTATATTTCACTTGGAATTTCTTGTATGCGTTGCCATATCGTGACTGATCTTGCATGCTTGCAATATAGCCAAGTAAAAACGGTGACAAATGCGGTGGACATTAATGCAGAAAGGATTGTTATTCTTCAATAGAGCATTAACTTTTCCCACTTCTTCTGCCGGAACGGATGCCCTTTCTGACCTGAACCAAAACAATTTTCTGGTCAGAGATCTTATGTTGTTCCATGATCATGGTTGCCTCGTGCAGTGCGATGGCTTTGCAGTTGCATACCTTTACACATTTTAGATAAGTAGTTTTAACTTCAGATGTTGGTGTTATAAAACGAATGACAGTCCCAAGATGCTTTTCCAAACATCTGTTGATCATTTTCAATCCTACTCTCAGACGTTGACCAATATTCAGCCGAGCAGTCGAGTTGCTGATTTTGATGAGCGTCTTGAGCATTTGGTTGAAATTGTGTGGACCGTCATATTTTACATGAGCTTGACTATAACTTAACAAATGAATTGCAGGAATTTTAAATGCCTTAGAAATTTCAGGAGAGGCTTGAAATTTGAATTACTGTGTCTTGTGTAGCAACCAGGAAACAAGTCTTTATTCCAGATTTCACAGCCCTCGTTCTTCTCTTCGACCCTCTCTACTTATAGCGTTCTTCCTAAAGTTGTTAAGTTCCTGTGCACCATTGCTCTGTAATTTAACCATACATATAGTTACTTTGATTTTGTGTGACCTGACTGGCCTCCCACTTTCTTCAGAAACAGTTTAAACGGCTTAGGGGAACTCTTTCTAAAATGTTGATAATGTATAATAGTTAACGGGATCCCCTAGAGTCACCTGAATTTTTCAGGTTCAGGACACAATCGATTAAATTGTCCAGCAAAGTGCGAAGATCATATCTTCATTTAATTTATGTTTTTGTTACTCAATATCATGATTATCTAATACTTTGTATAATCCGGTTATTGTGCATTATGTTTAGTGTAATTAGACGATGTTTTGAAGAATTAAATAGTCTTACATAAATCACAATATTTTGTCTCTGCGTGCCAAGTTTTGCACTTCATACTGCATTAGTTTAAAATATCACTGACAGCTTATATTTAATCCTTTTGGATTAAGGAAGTCAATCCTGTTCCAAATGTAATCCATAATTGTACAACTGGCGTAAAAGGATTTGCAAGTTTCCTTATTTTAGTTTCGTGGTGTTAATATAATTTATTGATATTGTGCATAAATTAACTAATTTTTTTTAATTCAAACCACATGCGTTGTATTGATGCTTTCAAACATTGCTTGAGGAAGTTGATGATGAAAGCCGAATCAAACTGTGTGCC